TATATCCCCCCATAGACAGGCAGCAGGGATGCAGGAAAGAGCAGGTTCTGTTCAGGAAACTGTAAGTAATTCGGGATGTGTGGGGCATAATATTTCATAGGGAAAAAGACATAAGAGATTGGAGAGGGAGCAAAAGCCAAATTAGTGAGGACACATAAGAAATTTGGGTTTCATTGTATAGACAATAGGAAGTCACTGAAGGTTTAAAACGGGAGAGTTCCCATGGCTAGATGAGCATTTTTCAAAAATAATATAACAAAAAACACCTGGATATCATCATCAACTGTAAGGCACTCCTTCGTAGTTTGATGGCCGAAAGAAGATTGCCAGCAGCCTCCTTCACACGGCCAGACCATGGGCCCCAGCTCTGCCCTCCGTGGACTCCAGCTGAATGGGGCATCCCTACCCAGTGTCCTCATTTTAGGTAGTAGAAGGAGAAACTGGGACTGCAATTCCAGAGCACATTTATGAAAAGCAGTAAGGATAAATTTTACAGTGAAAATTAACTCCCTTTTTGTTTTCAACCAAGAGTTCACCTAAAACAGGTACCCTTTCCCGAAGAAGTTCCAACATTGCTCAAGACATTTTTGGAACTTCTCTCTTGGAATTGCTTTAAAGGCCAATGTGGGAGCCACACAAATATTCGTTCTTGTCTCTATAGTTGCATTTTTTAAGTTTTGTCTTCTGAAATAAGCACTACCCGATCTGATTATTTTATCCCACTCACTAGACTCAACACTTTGCAGTTTTTTTTAATTAAAAACAATTTTTTGTTTTTTTATTTGTTTTTTTTTGTTAAAAACAATTTTTGTTTATTCCTAAAGTTAAATTCATCTTCATGAGGTAAAAGTTCGTTACCTCTTTCTTTCAAGACATTCAAGAAAGTACCCAGTCAACTACTTACTAGAGACAAGTTTCTTAAACATGAGCCTCACAGGTTGGCTGTTAAATGGGGGTGGTGGTAACCGCTTTCCTGCTTACCTGCTACGTAATTGGGAAGATAACACGAGACAGCATGTGAAAGCTTTTTGGAGGGCACCATGTCAAGGCATGCTCTTAATTCTTGTTGCCTCACACTTCGCAGGCAATTCCAAAACGTACCTTTGTTCTGGTGTCTGTGTGTTCATCTCCTTAACAGACTGTCCACTTTAGGGTGGCAGGGGCTGGGTCCTTTTTGGCTTTGTGTCCCCAGTGTCTGACGTTGGGTCTCAAACAGCAAAAGTCCTCAGGTGTTTGTTGAATGAGTAATTGAATGTAGCTCCTTGTCTTATTCTCAAATCATATGTAAGAAATGGATAATACACTCAGGATTACTAAGTTGAAATAATAAGCTCAGAGGCCACTTAAGCTTTTTCAAGTATGCCAACAGTTTGTCATAAGGAACCAACTGTTCATCTCCTAAGGGATCAGAACAAACCACTAATTGAATCAATCTGAAAGTGTAAAAGTTCTTAAACTTTAGTGCTATGGTCTGAACTTTGGTTCTGTTTTTAAATTACCAGGAAAAATTTGTCATTACTGATGCTGGGGCCCTGTCTTGGGACAACTAAATAAGTACCTCTGGAGGTGGAGACTGGTATTGATAGTTTTAAACTACCCAGGTGGTTGTAAGGTGCAGCCTATGTTTGGTACAGGGTTCTAGAGAAACATTTCTTCTAAAAAAGAAATCCTTGATATTTCTATATTAGGTACCATAGGAAATGGAAGACCACATAAATCATGTTCCCACTAGAGTCTATAAGGAGCAAAAACTAGCCATCGCTGAGACGAGTACAGTGGAAAAGCAACCGTCAGTGTGTGCTGAGCTGTGAGAGGTCATGAAAAGGACTTGTGCTGAGTATGAGACTTTCTGCAGAGTCTGCTAGACATTTCAGAAGTTTATCATAGAAATAAAAGACAGTCCCTGCCCACAAAAGGAGGTCAAGTGTTAGTTGAGCAAACCAGCTAGTACCAGCCAGCAGGCCTGGCCAGTACAAAGGGTCTGAAGGCTTTGATTCACAGCGCCAATCACAGTTCTCAGCACTGGGAATGCAGCTGTGAACAAGCCTCAAACTTATCTTGAAAAATGAGTCTGCTCACAATGAAGTAAACAGGCAATTACAAAATGGTGAGAGATGATGAAAGAAGCGAAATAAAGTTGGTGAGATAGGAAGTTCCCATTGTTAGAGGGTTTTAAGGGTCAGGCGGGGGTATTTCAGTCTCAGACAATGGTGACAGTTGCTCGTCAAAGGAATGCTGTGAAAGAAATATATAAGAAAAATTACTTTAGAACATTTGGAGGGTTAGAAGGAGGAGAGATAGTACAGATGTAGGACAATTAGGACACCTACAACAATCTGAGGGTGGGGTAGTAAGTTCCTAAATTAGGGAGACTTGAAAATGGGGAAGAGTGATCTGTATTCCCAGTGGAAAAGATAACTGCTTACATTATATAAGCCTAAATAATTTAAATGCATTTCAGTCAGAAATGAATTACTAATATTAGAATTCTACATTACACTACTTATAGTACATCTAAGAATAAGTACTCTTGCATTCTCCATTAATATTAATTGCTGTCATATCCTAATCTGTTTCAAAATTGTGTGAGAGCTATAAAAACTGGATGTCATTATCAGTGAGGTTAGCCAAGGCCTGTGCAGAGTTTGGGGATCAGCTCTTTTGGAATCAGTTGTCTACTTTTGTTTATAATTCCACATAGTCCCATACCCAAAAAAACTTACCTGTCAAACACAGCTCTGATAATGGTAAGCCTTCATATTTCTGTAACATGCTTAACTCAGTGTTCTAATCTGAGAATCTGAACTTAAATAAATTTTTTATTAATCAGAAATAAATTTTTGTCTCTGCCTTCAAGTGGACAAGTTCTAAATTTTTCATATGCAAATGATCAGTGTATAATTAATTCCAAAAAATTCCCTGCTTTTGTCAGGCCAGTTGCACAACCAGCCACAGAGTGAATACTATGGAGTTATTGGGACATACAAGACTGTAAACTACTGGGCCCTATGTACTAGAATTAAGTCTGTATTATTAGTCTGCATGTGTATTCTCACAGGAGACCATAAAATGTGGGCATGCTTTCAATTCAGGCAGCCTGTGATTTATGGAGGCATATAGGTCAGGAGTTTATTATGCTGAAAATCATAATAACTGTTTTGTTTTGCTTTTCAAAATGAAGTGACCAAAGCATGGTGAAAGATAAATGGGTGAAGCATTTTGATTATGCTTTTATTTCTATTAAACATTAAATATTATTGCTGGCTAACCAGCCATGGTAAGTATTATGACATTAAAGCTGAAGCAGTTTGTAAGCTGATAGCCCCTTCTTTCCTCTGGGTTTAGGTTTGTTATTAATCAAAATGCTGGACTTGTTTAGGGCAGTGCTGTATGAAACAAACAGTTGAAAAAACCAGCTACTTTAATTTACAGCATTCTGTGCTTTCAAATTTAAGGAAAATCTGTTTCTTTTTGTGGACTTTGTGCAGTTGTTCACATGTCTAGAGTTCATTTCTTATACCAGACCAACTAAATCCAATAGTTGCAAGATTCTCTCAGAGAACAGAAAGGAAGAAGGTGTCTTTTTATGGTTTTAATTGATAAATTCTGTTAAAGTCATGTTTGAAACATGGGCAGTCTCTAATCAAAATGGATATTACAAAAAAATGATCTGTATTTTGGGCAGAGAAACCAGTAATTTTTAAAATAGAAGATTCTGTATATGGAAAGATACTAATAAGTCAACTATCATGGTGGCTTTGTTTTTTGATATCAATATAGGAGTATTGAATAAAATTCATTTAAAGAGCATATGATTGCAGCTACTTCCTGATTTGGGCTTAATTATCTTTACTAGAGCCATGTGGAAAGCTGTTAAACACTTACTAAAATACAGCGTAGGGTCTGGGCGCCTCATGATACGTGGTAAAGGACCTTTAACGGGACAGTCATGCCACTCTTCTAAACTTGTTCCTCATCAGTGGTAATACATTTAGAATTCCTAAAGAGTGCATTTGAGGGGGTGGGGGAATGCAATGCAGATTGTAAGCAGTGTCAAAGAAAAAAACCACCTCCCAATATCTGAAACCAAAGGTTTAGCTTTTTATTTACTGAAGTAAGGAAGAGCTATGCTTCATTCGCAGTCTATTTGAGCAAAACAGGTTGCAAATCTTATGTAGAGTTTTGGAGTCAGGGATTGTTTTGGAGTTAATATCAGCCTCAAGCCCATTATTCAGGAGCGGCTGTGAGTGAATGGCTGGGTTTCAGAAGCATGTTCACTGGAGGGAGTCTGACACTGATTGGCCAACTTTCAAAAGCATGGGGCTGTCACTAATTGGTTGGCTTTCAGAGGTGTATTTGCTGAAATGAGTTATCATTGATCATTTATGCCTAGATAAGTCATCGTTGATTGATGTTTTATTGTGTTTCAAGCTGGTTCTAGTGGTCACTTGTTACCATGGCTGTGGGACAACTAGCCTTTTTCTAGGAGTTGGGGATTGTTTCATTCTCAGAAGCTAATACTTAAACACTGTAGGAAATTGAAAGCATAAGAAACTTGGACTCTGAGGAATCCATCTAAATAAGCAGTGATCCTATGATGCATTTTCTAAATAAGGGAGTTGCTTCTAAAGCAACAGAAGTATAAGAAGTCAGGCAGTTCTCACGCGTGGTATGGCATGTTAATGTATGGAGGTAGTTGTGAAATTTGATGCAAATAATGTATTATTAATAATAAAGTTAACAGAAATGTTAATAAATTAATTGAAATGTGAATGTGATTTACCTCATTTAGTAAACTAAACTAGACTCTAGGTCATCCATATAGTAATGTCACTCATATTCATTGCTTTCCAATAAGCTTTTCTGGGATGGAAGGGTTGGGAATGGTAGCAAGACTCAGCTTGTCAGCCCTGGTGAACAGTAGTTAACAAAATGAACCCTTAGTAACTGAAGTATGGCTAATACTGTAACATTTTATTTTCCTCCCAAAATCTTTTCAGGATTCTTCAAAATCTGAGTATATCCGTGGGAGTTTGTCATATAGTGAATTTCACTCAGCATTTATGTTACTTCAGGGGACTAGGGTGCGGAATCTCTCCTAGTTCCTACTGCCCAGATCTCTGTTTATGTGGGGGAAAAGAAATTAATGTAATACTTGAGTTTCATCTGAAAGTTACAACTGGCATAAGGGGAGTGTTAATCCTAAAGGCAATTTAGCCCTATCTGCTGTGATAAAGAAAAGTGCTGGGCATGCCTGATTTTAAAATTACATTAATAACTAGTGAGAAAAGCCTTAGTAGTTTTGTTTATATTTAAAAAACTGAACTGAACTGTTCTCTCCAGATTCATTCAACTGCCCTGAAATCTGATCTTTTGACTTCCTTATTTATTCCTGACACCTCCTAATAGGGGCAGAGCTAATCACTTACATATTTCCCTGCTGCCAAGGATAGCCAGCTTATGACCACTTACAATTCAAGCACATGCTGATACCTTAAGACCAGTAAGCATTTGATAAAGTAGGAAAGCAGGGTGGTTAGATTTGTTGTAATCAACAGTAAGAGGAGGAAATTAGTCCATGGACCTATGCCAAAAACTTAGTGTCCTTTTGCGCGCGCGCACACACACAAACACACACACACACACACAATGTTTAACCCAGCAACTCCTCAGAAATGGGCATCATAGCACCATTTATCAAGAATTTTCTTAACATGTTCCCTACTCTTGACCCATTTAACTACTGAAAACAAAAAAATCAGATACCCCTGGTCATTGTCAGGAGTTTTGCCCTGCAGCCTGGCTCACTGTGGCTAAGTGAGTATGCTCTTTAAAGGAAGCTGACAGAATCATCTCTGAGTTTAGTGTGAGGAACACTTCTGGGTCGAACTCTTAACCTCCCATCATGGAAGAACCTCAAGTGAAGACTGAGGCAGAGAGACTCACTACTAGAAATACAAGCCAGCAGAACAAACTCCAGACATGGTTCTCAAATGTAAGTGTTCTCTGAGATGTTGGCTTCCATATGGTGTGAGCACCAAGAAACAATGACCCTGTCTTGGTGCTCTGTACCCTGTGGCTCATCATGCCAAGGATAATGCTGTGTAGAGTTTCTACTTTCAGTTCTCTTGCCAGCATCACTGAACCATTCCTCTCCCTCTGTAGGATGTCGCATGTACTTCAGTTTGAGGATAAAAGCAGAAAAGTGAAAGATGCAAGCATGCAAGACTCAGACACATTTGAGATCTATGATCCTCGGAATCCAGTGAATAAAAGAAGAAGGGAAGAAAGCAAAAAGCTGTTGAGAGAGAAAAAAGAAAGAAGATGAAGTGAGAGTATTGATACCCAGAACCAGCTGAACATGCGCCTGCTATAAATGGCCTTCCAACTGCCATTGTTCCCAGCAGCATCACTGAAGGGTGTGAAAAGAAGTGTTTTTGAACCTGTTGTCTGGTTTTGAAAAACAATTATCTTTCTTATATAAGTTGTGGAATGATGTAAGCAAAGCTTTTGGTTACTAATACATGCTTTTTTCCCTAACTGGCCTTTTATATTGCTAAACATGAAATAAAACCACTTTCCTTCTAGTTTACATGTTAACCATTTGTATGCTGTAAGCCTGTTTTGTGTCTTTTAACCCTAAAACATGTGAAGGCTCTCTTTTCAATATTTTTCATAAGAAGTTTTTGCAAAAAATATTTAAGGGAAACCTCCCTGGCATTCTGTTACCACAGTATGAACTTGAGAATATAATTTTAAAATTATGTAATATAAAAATTGATTTTTTTTTTTTGTCTTCCTTGTAAATATCTAAAAATAGCCAAATCTTTAAGCCTCAATAGCCACATGCCTTAAATCTTGAGGAAACCCCAAGGGCACATTCCTACCGGCATCTAGGCCAGTGTCTGGGTTCCGGAGATGCAGTTGAGACACTGACCCATGTAAGTAAAGTCAGCCAAGCTCACTGCAGAGCCTGCCGCCTGCCCACTCCTCTGCCCCTCTCAGCACAGCAACATGCAGAGGTCCCATTCCTGCAAGAGAGCTCATTAAGAATTTAGTCTTTGATGACAATCATTCATACTGGCTACTTACTTATATATTATCTATATTTAGTCAGTTTGTTTTGAAATCTGAATGTTAAAATTATACCACAGACTGATTTTTAGTTACCTAACAAAACCTCAACAGCCACATCTCTTCAGCTCTTTTTTTCAACATGTAATGCAGTAACTTTTCTTGAGAGCGCTCATTCTCAAAATGTAGTCCCAGATAGTACCCTAAAATGTCAGCAGCATCCCTTGGGGACATGTGAGAAATGCAGATTCCTGGCCATAATACCCACCACCAGCTCCCATCTTCCCAACTACTCAGTCTGAAAACTCGGAACCCAAAAGGTTGTTAAGGAGATTGCTGGCTTCATTGCTGGTGATTCCATCTATAGAGCTTGACAGTATCAAGTGAAGTTAAAGATGTGCATATCCAGTGATCCAAAGATTCTAACTGTGTGTCTGTCCCCTAAAGAAATTCCCACACATTGCTCAAGGAGATCTGTACTAAATATGTATAGAAGCATCCATTAAGAATGGATAAATAAGTTGTATATCCATACTGCAGAATGCTTTGTAGTCATGAAGATCAGTAAACCAGAGCTATATGTATTAGCTTATCTTTAAAATAACATGAAAGAAAGGAAGCCATCTATATAAAAATTATAAACATACAACACTCCATTATATTTTATTTATGAATGTACACATATGTAGTAAAAGCATAAAAACATGTACGGAAATACTGGTTACCTCTGAGGAGGCCGAAGGAAGACACAGGGGGCTTCACTTGTGTTTGTAATGTTCTATTTCTCAAGGTACATGGTGGGTACTCAATCCTCATTTTAGTATTCTCTGTACATGTTGGTATGCCTGAAGTATTTCATAATTTCTCTCTTCATGATCATATCTAGAACCTGAGGTGAGAAGACAGAAGGACTCCTAATACTAAAAAGAACCCTTTATTTTTTGCTTCAGAAAGTAGGAAAAAGTCAAAGAGAAGGAGAGGGATATGATGGAGGTGCCCTGGGGAAAGGTCAGCCCACCCAGATGCACCCTGCATTTGAGGTGCATTTGGGGTCATCAGACACAAAGCCACCACAAACCACAAAGTTGTAACATCAGCCATATTATGGATATTCACAAAGCAAAATTTCATTTTCCAAACTCATGAAGTCTGTTGGTTATTAGGAAATGTCTCACCACTGAGCCTGTTTGTATTAAAGAGCCCTGTAGGTTCTCTGCCATTCCTCCCCAAATGTGTCCACCCTTACCAGCACGGTTATGATCCCAAGAATAAAGGGAGCCACAGGCCTCCAGAGCACAAGCCAGAAGAATAATATTTATAGATTTTAAAAGATAACTGAATGACAAAATTAACCCCTCAGTTTGGTTAAAATCCAGCTTTAATTACAAGGAGCAGAAAGATCTGAAATTCCAGAGAAATTAGAATCTTATCAGAAGAATTTCACCATGATAATAAAATTCCCTTTGAACTTAACTGAAAGTTCAATAGCAATAACAATTTTTTAAAAGCCTAAGAACATAGTTAAATTATCTGTTAAATATGGTATAAATGTGCTTTTAGTAAAGTTTTTGGAAATGTCACAGGAACGTGTTTGGGCCATATGAACTGCAAAAAAAAAAAAAATCTCAAAAACCAAAAGAAATGAAAACATGGAAGAAAATTTCACCTTTATAGTCTATTCTAATTTTACATTCATTTGGGTATGTTTTTCTTTTATGTATCTTGTTATCCTGAAACAGTGAGGTCTGTTAACATTCTTGTTCACTGTCTCTGACAACGCTAGACATGGAGACCAAAGAGGAAAGCAGCTCCTCAGTGATAATTTTTTTTCTCAGTTTCTGACAAACCATTTTTTCTCTTTGATTGAAGCTGTTGGCAAGGTAAACATTAAAAGCAACCCAAACCTCTCCTTTCTCAATAGGTAATTGAAGTAAATGCAGATCTCCAAAATTTTTAATGGTGCAGTATCAAAATGCACGTTGTCACATGCCCTCAGCTCTTTGTATGCCCTGAGGCCACACAGTAATGCATCTGCTGCATCTAAAAATGGGGACACCGTGGAACAAGGTCATTAAAAAGTGTGAGGAGATGAGTGGTTTGCTGCTGTTTTTAGAACAAGTTTAATATGCTGTGGTGACCTTATCAAACTGTCACTACCAAGCTTCTTGATAGGATCTGACGTGTGAGGTACATAAACCTGTTCTGTTGTGTCAGCATGGCCTGTATGGAAAAGGTTAGATAAATGCAGAATATTGCCCAAACATGCTGTTTAATCTTGGTGATAACAAGAAAGAAAATGGAGGTGTGAAGTGAGTTACCATTGAGGGTTGTATCAATATAAGCAATTTGTATACCCGGGGTGTAGAGAAGTTAAGAGGGGTCACATTCTTTAACACTGTCATTCACAAAAAAAAAGAGGTCTGGTCTCTCTATGGCTTTGACTCTGTTCCAGTGACTCTATAAACAGTTTATCAGGTGGTACCACTTCTGCTTACTAGAAAGCAGGAGCTTTTCCTGTCCCACATACATTTTATCTCTTTTAGCTTTTCATGAAGAGAAGTGAACCAGGAACCATATTTTAGAGAAATCCTTTCTAATAAGGATTTGAAGAAATTTGAATTCCAACAGAAATAATAAAATACAAATCTTACTGAGATGGGTATTAGAAGTCCCCCACGTATGGAAAGAATATTCATTTATTCCCACAAATGAAAAGCCATACATGATTATCTTTGTCACGTGCTGTGAATTTCATTAATTTTCTTGGAGAGGAGTTTTCCGTGTGCTGGTAAACTGGCTCCTTAAAAAAAAATCAGAAAGGAAAGTCTCAATTTGCAGCATTTGCCAATTTCCATGGAGTAAGTACTCCCCACGGCTGCTCTCAAGCCACTGAAGGAAGCCCCGAGATGTAACGGGTTCTTTTTCACGTTCTGCCCCACTGCTAGCTAAAAGCCTATGTGGTGAGTCTTGCACTAGCACTGAGGAACTCACAATGGTGTTTAAGCTTTTTTTCCAAGATTACAGTCTTCATGCATATTTCTAGTTTATGTGATGACTTCTCACAATTTAGTCAAGTAATAAGTTCTAGCAACATCTGCACCCTATGTTTTTATGAGTAGTTTGTATCTCAGATTCTGTTAATAGTTTTCCAGCACCACTTGGCCCACATTTATTTTTCTCTCCCTCTCATTCCTTCAGTCATATGTCCAACTCAAAAAACAACCGTATCTCACAGAAACAAAAAAATGGAAGGGGGAGGAAGGAAAGAAATGTAATTATAGTTCTTTGAATTATTCCTTATAAGTGATAATGTACAAATTCATCTTTTAATTTTTTTTAAAAAAGGTATTAGTTAGGGATGGAGAATCCTACCTGGAGTAAAGAAAAGACTGGCTTCTAAATAAAATACAGACAGGAGTTTGATCTCTCTCTTCCACATCTGCTGGCAATTATTCCTTTAAGGTTAGATCATGGTATTAATTCATGTTACTTGATCAGCAAAAACATCTTCTGGAGGCTTTGCTCATAGCACCAACCAAATAGAAGGTGTTCTTGGTCTTTTAGAAATTACTATTTTCTTATTCTCATGATTACAAAATTGATAATTGTTGTTAAAGTTCTGGCAGTAACCAAGATAAATTTGTAAGTGGTAAACTCAAGTGATTTTCCCATTTATTTTCTGAGTTTATTCTTGTTGGAGCTTTATTATAATATTCAAATGCTTTAATAACTGTATTTGAAACAAATAGAAACTAGTTACAGAAAATAAACCACTCCTTTAAAATAAGCTATTTTATGGTTAGTTCTCAATGGTTATGAGTAAACTTAACAATTTGTGAGGAACCTTTAATTTGCAATTTTTGAGGAAATACTTTATTCAGGGTAAAAGGAATTTGATCATTCCATCCCTGTTTTAAAGTTAAACTATTACTGATGTAAATGAAGAGATACTATCATGTAAATGGGTATTATCTCCCAAGCAACCAGAGAGATTTTGAATTAATTTAGAAAAGTTATGCATGATATATGTGGGGCCTAGGTCCATTTCAGAGTGAAATTGCCTTATGTCCAGCATGTGGACTTCATGTCGCACCAAACCTGACATGTCCAAACCCTAACTCAGCTGCCCTTCCCAGCCCTGGTCCTCCAGACCTGCTTCATCTGCACTTTCCCATCTCTGTTATTGGCAATGCCATCTTCCCAGTTGCGCAGGCCAAATA